GCCTGGCGGCTCTGGTGCAGCGCGGCCGCCTCATGCAGGAGGTGAACCGACAGCTGCAGGGTCACCTAGGCGAGATCCGCGAGCTCAAGCAGCTCAACCGGCGCCTACAGGCTGAGAACCGCGAGCTGCGCGACCTCTGCTGCTTTCTGGACTCGGAGCGCCAGCGCGGGCGGCGCGCCGCGCGCCAGTGGCAGCTCTTCGGGACCCAAGCATCCCGGGCTGTGCGCGAGGATCTGGGCGGTTGTTGGCAGAAGCTGGCCGAGCTGGAGGGCCGCCAGGAAGAGCTGCTGCGGGAGAACCTAGCGCTTAAGGAGCTCTGCCTGGCGCTGGGCGAGGAGTGGGGCCCCCGCGGCGGCCCTGGTGGCGCGGGGGGCTCAGGCGCCGGGCCGACACCAGAGCTCGCCTTGCCCCCCTGTGGACCCCGCGACCTGGGCGATGGAAGCTCCAGCACCGGCAGTGTGGGCAGTCCTGATCAGTTGCCCCTGGCTTGCTCTCCAGATGACTGAGGGCGCAGCTTCCTTCGCGCCGACGCCCGCCCGGATGGCTACCCAAGCGCCCGGATTGCGATGGACCTCGGGACCAGGAAGCCGCCCCGGCTACTCACGAGGGGCCGCTGGCATGGACTTAGACATTCTGGCACTGAGGAGGGCCCCTCGCTCTCGCTGGCTGGGCGACAGGGGAACTGGAGGCTGGAGCGGAGGGACTTGCAGGGGGCTGGGTGGGGGCTAATAAACTGGGACGGAAGCAGAGCTCATGGGCAGCGTCTGTTTGGGACTCGCTGGGGTTAGGACAAGGGCGGGGACGTTGAGACAGGGTATCATTCCCATCCGGAGGCGCTGCAGAACTAAGGTGTCTGACACCTCCTCATTACCTCAAGCCAGGGGCGGTGTGGGACCGTGGTAAGCCTCTGGCTACAACCCCCCACCCCCTCCACCCCCTCGGGCAGGCACCGGGACCGGCCGTGATCCTGCCCCTGAAGTGGCTCCAGCTCCCTTCCCGGCTCCTTCCTGTCCAAGACAATAGGGCAGGAAGCAGGTGTTGGGGGCCCAGAACCCACTGAGGCTGGAAGGGGCATAACAGCGCCCTCCTGTGGTACACGCAGGAGCAAGGTGGGCCCCCACCAGGAGGAGTTGGAGAATCCTCTTGGCTTGCATCCCACAGCACTCTTCCTCTCAGTCCTGGAGATGAAGTAGAGCAGATGTAGCTTCATTTGTCAGATAAGACAATGGAGGTCCAGAAATAACTAACTTGTCCAAGGTCATGCAGTGAGTCTGTGGAGCTGAGACCTCTGCCTAGTAGTTCTGGGTCAAAATGTTCTTCCTTTTAGCCTCTGAATCCAGTGAAACCAGGCCAGAGCCTCAAGCCTTTTATTCCATTTTGACAGGTTTATATAAAAATACTCTCTTTAGGAAAATAAATAGCAGCTGCCCTTGCAGTGGAGGCTTAGATTCCCCGGAGCTAAAGTCTTCTCAGAGCTGGGGGCTGCAGTTCAGCTCATCACAGAAGTCTCTGGCACCCTCTTGAGCTGTGTCTTTCTGGAGGGGCCGGCAGAATGCCCTGGTTCAATCACCTGGTGCTGCTGGCAGTGGGGCCGGATGAGTTAGTGTTCTAGGCTGGTATCATATCACCTTCTGTCAAGGGGTAGGGTTGGATGGGTCACAGGGAGAGGGTAAGGAAGACTAAGGGGAGGTCTGGAGGAGGTTAGGGTTCCAGAAAACCTCTAGGGATCTATAAAGTCCTTTGGGGCTGCCAGTTCTCTTGCACAAATGGGAAACATTTTGTCTCTGATTTAATGCAAATTGTGCTAGAGAGGCCAGCTCTAGAGAAACAGTGGGCAGCTTTGGTGGCCCCAAGCTGGTTCTGCCAGGGAGCAAAATAGGCTCAGTCTCATCTGGAGGGATGGAGAACCTGCTGGGGTTGAGCATGGAATACAGCCCAGGCCAGCTGGACCAATGGATAAAGAGATACTGGCTTGGGTGGCACCTGCAGGGAGGGGGGCAGAGTGCCTCATAAGGCCAGGAGGGTGGGGGAGCCGAGGGGGTCAGAGGATGGGTCCCCACTGCTGCTGCTGCTCCTGCGATGGGCTGAGGAACAGGGCTCAGGGGTACTAGGGTAGGTGAAGACCAGACTGGGTGTGAAAGGAGTCAGAGAGGGTGTGGTCATGAGCGTGGGGGTGTGCAAGGCTTCGGGTTCAAGCACAGGCCCCGGGGAAAGGGAGATACAAGGCACAGGGCGGGAGGGGGCTGGTGGGCTGCTGGCACCCCCTGCGCCTCCAGTGTCGCTCTCCTTGGCTCCTTCCGGTATTTTGCAGATGGGGCGGTGGGCTTCGAGCACCAGCTCCAGCCGCTCCTTCTGCTTCTGCAACTCCTCAATCTCTCGCTGCAGCCCTGATTTCTCGTCCTCCAGCTTGTCTGTCTCCTGTAGGGAGAAGGTCAGGAGAGGAGTCAGGAAGATGAGGGCCGAACACCGCGTCGCCTTCCGTGGTGGTGGTGACCGGGGGGTTGGGGGTGGGCTGAGCGGGGAAGCCGCCAGCAAGTCTGGACTACAATTCCCATGAGCCCTTGGGAGAAAACGCGCAGGACTCCAATCCGGCCCCGGGGCGTTTTAGGAGACTGTCGGCGAAGCTTCAGCAACTGCAGCGCCGCGCTCCGAGTACTTTTCCCTCGTCCTGTCACGCGGAGGCCTGCCTCTCCAGCGCCTCCCGGGGCCCCCGGGCTCGCGGGAGCCGAGGCTCCTCGCAGGCTTGGTGGCCGGGGCCTGGGCGCCCCGCGACCCGGCCGGTGCTCACCGCCTGCAGGAAGTCGGTCAGTTCCTTTCTCCGGTTCCTGCACTTGGCCGCGGCGAGCTTGTTCCGCTCGCGCCTCACCCGACGGCGCTCCTCCTCCTCCGGGCTGATCTGCGGGACCGAGGGAGCAGTGAGGGGGGTCCTGGGCTGCACTTTAAGGACCACCGCGCCCCGCCGGGGTGCTCGAACCCCGCTTCAGAAAACCACGAGTCACTTTTTCCCCCCTCGCACCCAGCTTTTGCCTCCTACGATTCCCCTCTCGGAACGCCCTCCCCCAGCCCTGCACAAATCTTCACTCTCTGCTTCTCCCAGAATTCAACGAAGATGCCTCCGTCTCCAAGAAGCCTTCCGTCATTCCCCGCCCAGAAGTGGCCTTTCCTCCTTGGAGCCCCTGGGAGCCGGCCACTCCATTTCGAAGGACCCCTATTTCCATCTCATGATACCCAAGTCTGCTTTTCTCCAAGGGCTCTCAGCACTAGGAGGGGCTAATGAGTGCTGCTAAGCAGTTTTTTAGGGGGAACCTACTGTGTGCCAGCAAAATGCTCCTCTTAGATTCTTTTTTATTTTTTTTAAATATATCTTTATTGATTTCAGAGAGGGAGAGAGACAGAAACATCAATGATGAGAGAGTCATTGATCGGCTGCCTCCTGCGCGCTCCAGACTGGGGATAGAGCCCGCAACCCGGGCATATGCCCTGACTGGGAATTGAACCCCGATCGCCGGGATCCTAGGTTGATGCTCAACGGCTGAGCCACGCCCAGCTGGGCAAGATTCTTAACACAACTTTCCATGTAAGGAACTGAAGCCCAGGGAAGATGAATAACTTGTTTATGGTCCTAGAGCAGAAATTAAAATGCACTCATTCTATTCAATGTGGAATGAGAGGTCAGCTGATGGAGAGCATCTCCCCCAAAAGGTACCCACTCAGAGCTCACAGCCCCAGTCTAAGAGGACTCAGGACCAAAGCACCCTCAGGACAGGGCTGAAGGAAGAAAGTCCACAAGCCTGCCTCTGGGGCCCACACCACAGTGCTCTTCCATGTGGTCACAAAGGCCAGCCATTCTGTTTCCGGGAAAGCCTCCCCTGGCCGATAGCACATCTTTCCCAGGATCCCAACCTCCTTCCCCATCCTCTCCCTGCTGTCAGAGCAATCTGTTTAATGTGCAAACCTCACCCACTACAGTCTCATGTACTAAAATGCTCCAGGGAAAGGAAAGGGGCACCACTCCCTTAAAGACTCCCTCTCTTTATTCTGGTAAGGATTTTATTAGCAGTGTGCAGCTAGGAACCCTAGTTGGGCAGGCAAATGTTCACAGCTCACTCTTCTTCAGGCCTTCTCTTAGCTCTGGGTGGGACAGTGTGGCCTGGTGGTCAGGATCTAACTTTAGAATTGGACAGCCTGGCCCTCCTGGCTCAGTGATTGAGCATCAACCTATGATCAACCTAGGAACCGGGAGGGCACTGTTCGATTTCTGGTCAGGGCACATGCCAGGGTTGCAGGCTCTCTCCCCAGTAGGGGGCGTGCAGGAGGCAGCTGACTCATCATTGATGTTTCTATCTCTCTCTCCCTCTCCTATCCTTTCTCTGAAATTAATAAAAACATTTAAAAAAAAAAAAGAATCGGACAGATATGTCTCATTACTCACTACTTGTGTGATCTTGGGCAAGTGACTTTACCTCTCTGTGCCTTCATTTCCTTGGCTGTGATATGGGGAAAACCAGAGTACATTCCCCAGAGGGTTTTGTGAGGTTTTAAATGAGACAGGGAAACAGACGCAGAGAGTAGGTAAAGGGAACCATCTCCTTTATGTTCTTTCCCCAGCTACACAGACAGACAGCGTACACCCACCCTCTGCATCCATGTCAGCAGGTGGGTACCCTCCACTGTCCACGCACCTTTCCACATTTACCTTACAAGGTCTTGCCTCCACCTCCATTCTTGCTTTTGCCATTCCCTCTGCCTGGAATGTCCTTTCCTTCAACTCTCTCTATGCAAATCCTACCCATCTTTCTAGGTTAATATGCTTCCACCTTCAGGAAGCACTCCCTGATCCAAAAGTGACTTCTTTGCCTTCTGGGTCTCCCTAGAGGCTTCTCTCACTTTCCATATTAGTCAGTCACTAGTGGTGCTACCTTCTCCCTGCTCCCAAGCCTGTGTTCTCCTTTTGGGCAAGAGCTAGCCTCTGCACCTTGGCCTATGGGCATCAGAATCAGTGCAAAGCCTCTGTTCCTTACCTGTTCACAGGGCCGACGACGCACCCCTGGAGGTGGCCCCAGGGCCCGGATGACTCCTGGCCGGGGCTGTGGGTAGCTGTACTGGGGATAGGCCAGAGGCCTGGGGTAGCTGCTGGGTCCCAGGAAGTGAGGCTGAACCATCCACTGCAGCTCCTGGCTGCCACTCACAGCATTAATGCTTGGCACGAGGTGGAACTTCTGAGGGATAAGAAATGGAAGGCCAGGGGTGAGGTCTGTGAATCGAGGGGCTTCCAGTGGGCAGAAGCCACTAAATGCTATCCACCCTCAAGATAGGTGCTGAGACACCAGAAAGAGCACAGCTTGGCAGTTAGAGAGACAGTAGCAAATCTCTGCTTCTGAGCTGTGTGACTTTAGGCAGGTCACATAACCTCTCTGTACCTCCATTTCCCCATCAAAGCTAATACTTATAAAGTGTGAATTCCAGGCACTGTCCCAACCACTTTACAAATACTGACTCATATAATTTGCACAACAGTATCTTTTTTTTCAGACAGGAAAACAGTTGTCCTTAGACACACAGCCAGTAAGTAGGAAGCAGGATTTGGGCTCAGGCAGCTAGGCTCTCTCCCATTCCTGCACCCTGCCTGAGTTCCATTTGCACAAAGAGGATAATTACAGCTCCTAACCCGGAGGGTAGCTGTGAGAATCAAGTGTGAGAATGCGTGCGACAGAGCCTGGTAAAAGCTGTGGAGGCAAAGAGCCACTGCTCTGGGTTCAGGCTGTCCAGTTCTAATCTTAGCTTGGCCGCTTACTGGCTGTGACTCTGGACAAGGTGAGGATTATGGCATTTCATTGATGCTAAGAAGCACCCTTTAGTAGCTCTGAAATCGGTTTAATCAGCAACTTAAAAAAAAAAAAAAATTAGTGGCACAAAATAAAAGCGGGTTTTAAAATCAATGGAGTCTTAGATTCTGTGAAACATGGTAAATGAGGTGAAAACCGCCCAGCACGATGCCTGGCTGTACTGTCTGCCCTCCAGGTATTACCTGCCACTATTCCCTTTCAGCCAGAAATACGAGGAATGGGTTGAGATGGGGGTTCAGTGCTCAGGAGAACTGGGTTCAAGCCCTGGGGCTGGGCTCTGGGCGTGGGCGCCCAGTCCTCCGGGAAGAGCGGGCTCAAGCCCAGGCAAGTCCATACAATGGTGTCCCTGGCCCGGCTCTGGGGGCCCGGTGGCCCAGTGACCCCAGTTCCGGGATCGAGGCCCCGCCGGCGGCATCTCGCGCTCTCGAGGTTGCCGGGGCCCGGGCAGCTCTGGGCCAGGAAGGGAGGGGCGCCGCGGGTGAGTCAGCCGCCGTGACTCGGCCACCGTGACTCGGCGGGACGCTCCTTCCCTCCCCTGGCGACACGTGCTCGCAGCCCCCCGACAGGAAATAGGCACCTGCGGCCTCCCGGGTCCCCCAGCCTCCAGCGGGCGCGGTTGGCGCCCAGAGTCTGGGGTGCGGGAGTTGCCCGCTGCATGACCCCGCGCACGTTCTGGCACCTCTCGGTCTCGACTGGACCCAACTTGTAAAGAGAGGGGGTCAAGAGCCAGTTTCCAGGAGCCCAGCAGGCTCCACTGCGCCGAGGAGGGGGTAGGGACTGGCGACGGGGCAGAACGGGGCAGACCAGCGGAGAGACACACGGACGATCTCACACAGAGCCGAGGCTTCCCCGTCCGTCGGGATACGCCAGTGGATCCCTCCTGCCTCCTGTGTGGGGACGTCTCCGTCGCAGTCGGGACCCCGCAACCATCCCCCGAATGTAGTCCGAGATGAACCAGCCCCGTGTCTGGTCTGGGCCAGGACTCGCGCAGTTGCCCCGACCCCCTTCGAACGCAGATGGGACAAAGCAATGAGCGGCGGACAGGAGGAAATAAGGTAAGGACAGGAGGAAAGAAAGACGGAGGGACAGACGGACAGCGAGGGAAAAGGGGACGAGAGAGAGGGGGCGTTCTCAGATTTTTGTTACACCCCCCCCCGCTCGCGTTTCCCTGCGTGGTGGGGGAGACAGCCCCCGGACGGCGGAGAGTGGGCAGGACCCGCGGCCACGGCCC